CCATCCCCACTGAGGGTAACACTAGGCTCTACCGAAGATGCCGAAAAAGTTTTATTGACTTCCCAAGTCCTTTCTATAGGGAGGACCTGCAATATACGTGTTAGGCCAGATAGGCCATGGAAGGAAAGACAGATGGCGAGGGAGTCGCCAGAGCTTATCCCTTCTGCCTCCATGGTTGTTCATGGCATTCCCGAACTGGTGACTGGGAACGCTTGTGAGAAGCACTGTCACGATGTACAGCAATGGAGATGGTTGGCATCCCAGGTGGGTCTGGGAAGTTCAGGGGCTGTCTCTATTTTTAGATTGCCTCGACCCACTCACCTAATGTCAATTAACATTCCACGTCTGTTAGCTGTTAAGTTCAGCTCCCGAGACCACTTGACTACTGCTCTCCAGAGATGGTACGAGACCAAGGACAAGGTCAGCAGACACATTCGCTGCTGCGAGAGCCGGCCTCGTACCCAAAGGAGAGAACAAAACGTTGTCATAGAACATCCCCAACCCCTAGTCACAATACAGCGGTGCAGCACGGACGATGATAGCCAGTGTCATCCAAGTGCTCCGAATGAATCAGAAGAAAAAAACGCCAACAGGCCGGTTCCCGGGGAATCGGCCAACTAGTTCGTAGGATAACTCCTCAACCGACAGCCCACATCACGTCAACCACCCCCCAAAACGGGGACGTGGTGAGACCGACTACCAGTTGCCTGTACAGTAATGTGAGAGGTCTAAGAGGCAAAATAGCTGAACTTAGATACCTACAATCACAGCTGGACTCCAAAATCATAATACTGACGGAAACCTGGCTAACCCCTACGGTAGCAGACAGCGAAGTCAGTATAAATGATATGGTCCTAGTCAGGCGAGATAGGAATCTGAAAGAAGGAGGTGGGGTCGCCATATACGTCGACAAACAGCTCAGATGTGTCCATGCAATCGACCGTCTCCTCATTGAGCTCCCTGACTCCATATGGTGCCATTTCACCGTTGGGTACTGTAAGTATCTAGTGGGCAGCATTTACAGATCACCTTCATGTGGAGCAGACCACAACCAGGTACTGCTGAATGCAATTTCAGCGACACAAGACATGGGTTATGATCAAATTGTCATAGCTGGAGACTTCAATGCCCCATCTCTTAACTTGATGACGGGATGTGCCCAGGACAGATCTGATCGAAATCTGCTGCATACCATCAGGGAGGCCGGATTCACCAAAAATGTCAGAATGGATACTAGATGGGGCCCAGATGGGAAGTCTTCTAGACTGGATTACGTGCTCACTAGTGACCAGGTACTAGTGGAAAACGTTCAGATCACTACTCCCATAGGTAGTAGTGACCACGCGGTCATAACATTCAACACAGTTCTCCGCGAGCGTTTACAGTGGGACAATGCACTGCCCTATCTGTGTTATAACAAAGCCAATTACACCGAAATGCGAAGACTTTTGTCTGAAGCAAATTGGCCAAAAAATTGGACAGAGCTTACAGTAAAGAACACTGGGGAGTGGTAAAGGAGATCATTCACCAGGCGGTCTCAGACACTGTTCCTTTAGTCACACCTAAAGCTAGAAAGCAACGCTCATGGCTAAAAAGGGGGACACAACGCCTTCTACAGGCGAAGCGAAAAGCCTGGCTTGCGTGGCGAGTATCAAAGAGTCAACCCGAACATGAAGTGTACCTCGAACTCAGGAATCGGACATACGAGTCCGGAGTGATAGAAGGACATTTCAGAGAAACCTCGCCAATAAGCTTCTCGTGAACCCCAAAAGCCTATACAGGTTTATGTCTTAAAGAAAACCGACCAACCAGGGAGCTTGCAATCTAGTGGGTTCTGATGGGAAATCTCTTACTAGTCTTGAAATGGCAGAGACATTCAGTCTAGCCTTTCACAGGCAACTGAACAGTAATGAGGATTTTACCCCCACAAAACATCAAGATTAAAATGCAAGACCAACGTGCGAAAACCTGCTGGGTACATTTCAAACTACCCCGGCTATGGTACTCATAAGGCTGGGAAAGTTGGCTTCGGGAAAGTCTGCAGGTTGCGATGACATAAGACCATCCGTCCTGAAGCAGTGTTCAGAAAGTCTCTGCCAACCCCTAAGTGATCTGTCTCAACACTCCTTTGATGTAGGGAAACTTCCATGTGAATGGAAACGAGCCATCCTATCCCCTATCTTCAGGGGTGGTGACCGGCAGAACGCGATCAGTTACAGACCAGTTGCGCTACATCCAGTGATATCGAAGATATTGGAAAGTCTCATTGACGACCACATGAGAAAATACTTCGATGGGACTAACCTACTCCATGAAGCACAGCATGGTTTCAGGAGGGGAAGATCCTGTGTGACGAATCTTCTACTAGCTTGTAACGATTGGACACTATCCTGGGATGTAAAGGTACCAGTCCATGTGATCTTTCTCGACTTTGCGAAAGCATTTGACACAGTTCATCATGGTCTGCTCCTTCACAAAATAAGCAAAGCGGGTGTTTCTGGAGCACTTCTCGCATGGCTGGAAGATTGTTTAGGCGAGAGAGAATTCTGCACCAAAGTCAACCGCATCCGATCATCCTGGAACACCTCGGCATCAGGGGTTCCTCAGGGTTCTATCTTAAGGCCGTTGATGTTTCTGATTTTTATCAACGACCTGCCCTGTCAACTGAATTGCTCTGCGCTTCTTTACGCTGACGACGTAAAGATTTGGAGAGCAATAAACTCATCGGAAGACTCCGACAGATTGCAGGCTGACCTGCAAACTCTGGGAGACTGGGCTCTGGCTAACGGAATGCCTTTCGACTTAAAGAAGTGCAAAGTAGTGCAACTCCATTCCGGCAGGTCACAGAGTGCAAATTACACCCTTGGTGGCCAGAACTTGAGTTGTGTGCCATCAGAACGCGACCTAGGCCTTACTTTAACAGAAAAGCTAGACACGAGTGTAAATTACACGAGGGACGTCGCCAAAGCTTACGCCACTTTACACTTTATGCATAGGCAGCTGGGAGCTCTTACTCCTGAACTATTCTTAACGTTGTACACGACATACGTGAGGCCACTCCTTGAGGTGCATAATATCATTGCTCCTCCGCTACTCAAAAGGGATGCTAACATGCTAGAAAGTGTCCAGAGACGAGCGACAAAATGGGTGATCGGCCTCCGCAACAAATCATATGAGGAGAGACTGAAGAAATTAAGTATTTTCACACTTAGTTACGTAGTCACAGGGGAGACCTCATCACCGTCTATAAGATCTTAAATGACCAGGCCCACCCTAATAAGAGCATCCTGCCATCAAGTGATTATAGGCTTCCACGAGGTAACCCGCCAAGGATAGCACACCAGAGACCAAAGACTCGAGTGCGTTCACATTTCTTCTCGCTTCGAGTTTGCCGTCTCTGGAACGCTTTACTGGCGGCCGTAACTACAGCTCCATCTGTGGAGACTTTTAAGCGGAAGCTGGACAATCATGCAGAAATGCATGGTTTGTGTCTCAATGGCTTACCCTCTTAAAATTTGAAACCACATTGTCAATGGATAAGCATACAAGCTAAATCCCCACGACCCGTCCTGTCTTCTCCCACTGTACCGACTACCCTATCTTTTCTTTCTTTCTTTATTATTTCACCTTTATTATTTCACTTATCTCAACCTATATTATCTACACTACAACCTATTATTATTATCATTATTACTGTTCTACTTTTATGATTATACCGAATGATCAACGGGTGTTAGGTCAAGCTCCATTCACGGCAGCAGCTGAGTCCTAATATACTGCACACTACAAACCACAACCTTGACCAATCCTCACACCACTCCTCTTGGAGTCTACCAGAGCTAAAGCAGTCGAGTGACGGGATTTACTACGCATAAGTTCACCGAAGATCTGGAACCTCTACCTTAAAATCAAGAAGCGAGCTCAAAGAAATCACTGGTTTATACTAGCTCGTAATCAGGATATTGGATATTGGAGAGCAACCGAACTGTATGCGAGAGAAGAGTGTGAATGATAGAATCTCCTTGGAATCACTGTCACATGGCTTCTATAATTTGCTTTCCAAGTAAACTTACCCGTTTATACGAAATATATATTATTATTAAGTACTCCGAATGCGCTTAGTTTCAATTTGTGTTTCTACTGATTCAACGTGATGAACTCCATAATCTTTCTGGATTCTCGATATCCTACCTGCTTCAAGAGTAGGACCAAATTTTTGCTGACGGAAACTTTGTGATGGATCTTGCTTTAGAAAAGTTACCTCGGTGATTAGATCTTACTATTTGGTGATGGCGAGTAATCAGCCATTACAGTTTATTTCTCTGGAATATGTCGAATGATGCAGTCACACTTCTGCTGACGTAACACATATAGTGATTACTTCCCCACAGTGTTTTTTGCTGTTTATGATCGCTATAAATGTTTGTGGTCAGTCTCAGTGTGAAATTTACGACCAAAGAGGTATGAGACTTACCTTTTAGGACAACATCTTTATCATAAATACTTGCGTCTGCGAAAACTATGCATCGCTCCCCATGCATTGACAGTTTTAGTGTCACTTAATGACTCCGTAAACGAATTGAATGTTTGCTTTATGTAATTAGCTAGAGTAAATGCTGAGTTACTTAATGAATTATGAGGAGGTCCTGCCACCTAGTTGAATTCTTCAACGAAGCGACTGTGAAATGCTGCTCTTCCCATGCACGGTCTCAATATTCCCTCTAAAATAGATGTTGCAGAGTTTTAAATCGTCAGGCTCTTCTCTGATAGTGATTCTTATCCCTCAGTTTTCCCTTCTATAACCTAAAAGAACGACACTGACCTATTATTACTACATCAGTTTGACTCCGATGGATTGCATGAAAGACACATACTTGTAGCAACATTCTGATTAACTCATCCACCCACTGTATTTACTACAGTAACTGTAGCCTAAATCAAGCGCCGTTCCTCAAAGTTAAACAGCGAATGTGAAACGAACAATAAATTTGTGCAATGTTGTCACATTTATATATCGTGCTGTTGGAAATATCGTCCACTTATCTACTGTACATTGTACATAAGCGCACTGTATTTGAATGGTGTTATCTGTAACCAATTTCTGAGGTTAATTTTTGAATTTAGCTATTAAATGAAAGTAAAAAACAACTGTAATGCAAACAGATTATGCTCTAACGGTTGTGGATTTTATGGAAGCTCACAATTTGATGGACTGTGTTCCAAATGTCATAAAAATGTAGCCACTGCTAACGGCACTACCAGTATAACTGTAAATACTGTACCAAACAAAGTGGAAGTAAATCCTCAAGAGGCATTACCACCAGAAGTAAGTGTATATATACGTTTTATTCTTTGTTTAGTTTTCCGGACTGTATTCCACATTCACCTGTTAGGTACCAATATGTAAATTATTAATTTAAAAATTATTAATAGTCAATAGATTGGTACTATTTGTATGGAGGTTGTCAGCATAGTGGTTACGGTCCTCAGATGTTATTTTCTAATGCACATATGTGCGCACGACTGTGCAGGAATATCAATATAATCATTATAGTGATTAGTAGATTATATATATATATATATATATATATATATATATATATATATATATTGATAACCAGCATTAAACTACAGTGTGTGCTCACCCAAGTGAACGTTTCGGGGACGATTTGTGGGTTTACGGTGATAATGTCAGTTCAGACTGACCCTAGAATTCTTCAGAAAATTTAGATAAGTGTTTTAAAGCATCGTCATTCTACCTAAAATTACAAAGAATACTCCGAAACTACCTCGAAATATTCCCAAATCTCCAAAAATTATTCTGAATGCTCAAAAAGTGTTTGATACAGTCAGTGAAAAGTGATGCATCAACAAGCGAAATTAGAATGAAATCATGCTTGAGAGTGGAAGTGACTTACTGGGAGCCTTCAGATTATTCATCCCTCGCAAGTAGTTAGGCTCAGCACCTAATATAGAATGTCAGTGCAGTTGTGACCGTTTGTATAATTAATGAAGGCTTCAGGTCGCTGAAAACAAGACAAATCAGGCAAAGAGACATATTCATTTTCATTAAATTCTCCATCAACCAATCGAGACGAATATGTGATTTTGCCCATTGGTGGTAATATTAGTAAATAAGAATTATCAACTTCGAGGTGAAGGAGGGGTTAGAATGGTTGATTATGCAGCTTAAGACAGCTAGTTCTAAGGAGTTAGAAACGAATTGCCAGTTAGTAAAAAATGCCAATACTCAGGTACAGGAGGGGTGGAAATAATTACTGAATTCAAGGTCAGTTCATTTTTAGGGGTTAGCAACGAGCTACTACATAATTAATAATAATTTATAAACTAATAGACGTCGGAGTAGCTCAAATCTAAGGCCTTCTTCAGAACTTCCAGCAATCAGCTGCTGAACTGAGAAGACAGCCAACTACGTCGGCAGAAGTAATATCCTGCTCACTAATACGAATTATCCAGAAATTTTGTTGCATTGTTGTCTTCGAATTTAGTGCTCGTTCATAAATTCTTAGGAACTGTTCGAAGTTTTTTAGTAACTTTAGCTTAGGCTCTATCTTTTTCTTCACTAGCATAGAATGATATTCGTCTGTCATAAACTGTGACAGTTATTTGTAGCAGTAGCAATACACAATTACCGAATCACAGGAAATCAGACAACAGCATAGAGAGGGATGGAATTAGGATTAATTAATTGTAATTCATGTAATAAATATTAACAAACAACAGTAGGCATTTACATAATACAGTAATAGAAACTGTCAATCATCACATAAACATATGTCGAAGTCCTTCTTGTTCATCATCAGTTTCGCTCATCTTTCAAAATACTTTTGGTTGTGAACAGTGACCAGTGAATTCGATTTAGTTTTATTCAAATGAAATAAGACTATGACAATTTATGTACGTTGGATTCCAATATATCGCTTTGTAATGTGATGTTTGAAAGTAGTCAATCGATCTTCTGTTTTGGCAAGACTAAGAAAGAATCGAAGTTTTAGGTTTACTTCAAGTTTCTGCATAATAATTGAGACCATTAAACTTATACGACTAGCAGTCCAATGTTATTTATTATCTTCACTATGTAAGATGGATTTATTAACCATTCTTATTTCCTATTGGTAATAGGCAACAGTTGTTAATATTCACGTGGTATACTTTTAGGTTAGACTTAAACGATTTGCAATTAGAAAAAGAGTGGGGATTTTACTACTCGTATCAGATTTACACATTTATAATATACTGTTTATATGTCAGAAATCATCACGTTTTCCAAAGCGGTCGAATCTGACGAGAATGATTTGGCGTTCCTGGACTGCTGAGTAAAAAGGAAACCAGTTGGTTAACTTAAAATAAACATTTTCAAAACGCCAACAAATTGGGACAGATACCTAGACACACCTCTTTACCACCAAAGTAACTGTGGACAAAAATCTGATTAACAGAGCCAAACGAATAGCTACTGAGGAGCAAGAGATCAGCATGGAGCTAAAATTGGTTCAATCCTCTCTTGAATCAAACAATTATCCCAAAGCCTTCATAAAAAGATTTTTAATATATGAAGGTAAGGATGGATCGAAACCTGTTGCTTAGAAGTGGGTTAGTACAGAGGTGATTACTTACCCCAAAGAAAAATTATATGAGATAAAGCGAATCCCTAACAATCATGACATGAAAGTGTATTACGCTCATCACTGGCGAAGGTTAAGGATAAAACAGAAGAAGACAACCAACAGAATTGTATGCATTAGATCAACTGTGGGGACTATGACGCCGTATTTGTATAAGAAACTTCCAGACAGTGTCTAAAGGCGGTTTCAAAGACCACTGAAGATTTGAAGGAGCTAGAAAAGAGACCGCTGATTACGCTGCAAGCGATGGAAACGGGACACAAGATCGACTTCGATAGGACCAAAGTTCCACAGAAAGGTTTTGGTTCATATAAAGAAAGACTGACTGCAGAAGCCCCATATATATATATATATATATTTATATATATAGGTGAATCCCCAAAGCTTGAACAGATGTGAAGGCGTGGTGTCAGCTGATGCATGGCAATTCCTGATTAATAAATAAAAAATGGATATCCATCACTAATTAATCATACTTGGTCTAAATTCCCAATTGTTTATGTCTTCTTATGTTTACCCATACACACGTACACACACAGTCACCATTGTATACCGCATATACACATATATATTTTTCATATTCACTTATCTACTACCATGAACTTTTAGTCGAACGTGATCACTAAAATTCTGATGAAAAGTACACTCTGTTTAAAGTGTTTAATGAAAAATAAAAAAGAACTAGACTAACATAATTTTTACAAATGTCTGTTTCTCACTCGGTGCCCAATTATATTTTAGAACTATTCAGTCAAATCTCGATAACAGTTCATATGAATTTATGCTAATTTATTTTTAAAAATATTCAAGATATATATATATATATATAGTCAACTGATTAACAAATATTCTGTCTGATAATGAGTTATTGTTTCAGGCTATCTATCACCTGATTATGAGTGCATAAATTTATTTTAATGACTAATACTTATTTTTTTAAATAGTTCTCATAATACGTACACTTTCAGAATCATTTTATCTAACTGTCAAGAGGAAAATGTTTCTTACTCACGTATATGATATTTGAACATCTATTCATTGACTTCTATATTTGCGCGGTTATTTCACTTACACAAACAATTTCATTATTTATTTATTTTTTTCTCATGTATTCTAAAATAACACCTTTGTGAATCAAGAAAACTTTCATGAAACCATCAGAAGTGATTACAATGAATGAAAGTAGGTTGTTTGTTGTTGTTCTTTTTAAATAGTATGTATGAATGAGCAGTTTTTATCATTTGTGAAATATTTATGCTATGTAACGTGTAAACCGAAGTTCATAGCTAAGTAAACTTGATTCTAGTGGAAAGAACGCACAAACAGATTACCACAGAAGGTCACAGACTAGATCAACGGGAAGAATTGCATTCACGAAAACGAATAGCATTAGTGAAGAGATTTCGGAACCATCAGTTAAATATCTATCGAAATAATTAAGTGCTGAATGTTGTTTGACTTATTTTTACCAGGAATTTATGATTTGTGTTGTATCCTTTTGATGTTTATGTCACATAGTGATGTAGTGAAATAAATCAGACCACTGAAAAGTAAACTTATCAGTTAATTAATCTCTGAATATCTCACTGGCGCTATAGACAATTTAGTTACCTATTCCAGTTGACCTTACGTCAATAATAACTATTTTACGGCGGATGGGTTGGAATTGAAAGCACTACTTCTACTGCATTTCAAATGATACAGTTGACGGTAGTTAGTCCTCTGTGGAACTCATCAGTATCCCTAGTGGATGATGCTGTTCCTACTGAAGCAACACCCAACAACCATTTTTTTTGAATGCCATAGTGTTATCCATCAGGCCACCTGGCTTTGAAAATCACATCTTGTGCAAATGGTATTAGTTTTCAAGTATTGGTTTTGTAGGGATTTTGTTTGATTGGTTGGAGAATTTCATCATGAGCTGACATCAGCTAGAGAACCATTGGAAAACCTGGGAGTACTGGATAGCTGTTTCATCCTAGTTTGGGACTCTTTAGCAGTACGTACCCATAGGGTTCGAACCCAGAGGAGGTTTGCAGCCAGAAGGTCCTGGTGAATGCGTACTGCTAGAGAGTCCCAAACCAGGACGAAACAGCTGTGGAGTACTCCCAGGTTTTCCAGTGGTATTAGTTTTCATTTGCTAAAGTTATTTAGAATTTCTCATGTAGACTTTAGTTGTCAATAATTACCTGCTAAATGCACACAGTAAACACAGCGTAACACAAAAATTCCTACATCTTATAAAATGATACACTAGTTACTAACCTAAATAATTTGTGAAGAAAGACTAGAGATAAAAATGCATTTTAATACCGTGAAATGTATGCCTAAAACTGAAATATCACATTGTGGTTATGCAGTAGACAGTAGGAATCCCTCCTACTGGGGAATAAACGGTTTGGTATATATATATATATATAATTTGTTAATTGAACCTTAACTTGATAAGGAATTTACATTTCGTACAACTTGTGTTTCGTACTACTTTGTATTTCTGTGTGAATGAAGGGAGATTTAATCCAGTATAACCAATATTAAAGTTACCGACTGGGTAAGCCATCATCTAATCCACTCCCAAACAAGTACTATTTGAGTTAGTATTAGATATCGTGAACAGATCAGCCGGAAGGCAAGCTGAAATGAAATTGAAATGTTGCGTCTAAAATCCGGGGGGCGGGGGGCAATTCATTTACCCCTCTTCCTCCTACCGAAGATTTTAACACAGAGTACAATCAGTGATTTTATCACATGCTTTCCTAGAAAGTTATTCTGTTTGGCCATCAACATTCGTTTTTAATTAATGAGATAGTTTGTACAAATCAATTACGGAAGTATGCTTCTCTGTATAATGATGATCCGACGTTTGATACCCCACTGACGTGCTAGTAAACCTTATCTAGTTGGTAGAGTAAGGCCGGAAAAGAGGGAAAGTTGGGTATCAGGCTGGAAACGTCAGCCCATAAAAAGCAATACCATCGTTACTGAAATCTTAAAGCTTGAAGCTTTGTGTTCAACTATGTGAGGAAGGAGTAAACAAAAATTCTTGCTTTGATATAAGATTGTCTAGGAAAATTTTGCATCTGTGAATATTTTGATCATAAACTTTTATTCGTCTCACTGTAATTATTGTTCTTATAAAAGTCTGCGTTCATTAAAGTACGAATATGTTTCGGTTCCTTTTTCTTTTGAGCCCTTTCCGATCAAAATTTGCAATGTTCAGTGTACATAACTTTAGGCTGCATTTCCACTGAATATGCAGCTAAGCTGTTGATTGCTACTTGAGCGAAATGTTTTTTCACTGATTTGTATATCACATACATATCTATGACGTATGTCATATGCGTACCTTGGTGTTAGAATGTCTCTAATCGAGGAAGAGACAGTATCTGTTCAAGAGCACAATTTTCTCCAAGAGGCCAGATGTGTCCTACTGATGAATGCCACCTAGTGCAACAACAGAAGACAAGGGCCAGGCAACAGATCGTTTATTACGGAAAATCAACACATATTTATAGATTTTAATGTACATTATTGTAGATTATTGTTAGTAGAAAATAAAGTCTTTTGATTGGTTGTTTCTCACAGAAAGTTAACCTTGCATCTCTTTTTGGCTTTGTCAGATCATCCATGTGCTAACTGCATCCGCCTACGCAAAGCCTTTGTTCTCATTTTCTCACCACCAATATTGGGGACATAAACATTGACGCTAATTACTGTCTACCAACTTTGGCTGGCAGCCAGCCCTCACCACACTAGTAGGGAGTCTGGGTGGGGTACAGGTTTCTACAGAATAACGTCTTAGAATGAATTACTCAAAAAAATATACCAAACAGGGTTGTGTCATTTAGCTGAATGACCAGTAGGCTCAATTATTGAATGAAGTCGGGTAAAGACATTTCGTTCACTTCTTTAAACAGAATAGCACTGAAAGGTCTAACTGATTTATTGATTTGTGTAGATAGTCATCGGTAAAATTCGGATAAATTTTTGTCTTTCTTATTGGTTATTTTGTAATGTTTGATTTCACGTTCTCAATTTTCTTAACACAGAAAAATTCAAAATTTAATTGTTTAAATGAGATTTCATCAAAAATGATTTTGACAACTGTTTGGTTTTATTTTACGAACTTACAGTAGTGCACACTTTTAAACCCTTAATATTACTATTATTTCTTTGGATTCCAAGTGGAACATATGGCTTTAGCATAACATCACCATTTCAACTTCTTCACTATAGTCCTTCATTTTCCCTTTATACAGTGTCCTACATGTTACATCCGGATTGTCAACTCTTCGCACCCATCCGGGTTCAACTTGAGGATCTGGTGTATGTGATTTTACTCAATAATCACCGGAAAGAATCACCAACAAGAAACTATGGGAACAAACAAAGACAAGAACCAATCGCCCAACAAATATGCAGAAGAAAGTGGAGATGGATTGGACACTCGTTGAGGAGGCCGCTGGGTGATATCGCGCGTCAGGCCATAGCTCGAGTGGAACCCGAAAGGGAAGCGGCGAGTGGGACGTCCAAGGGTGACATGGAGGAGACCGTGTGAAGAGGAGTTGAAACAGTATGGACTAACATGGATGCAGGTGAAAAGTATAGCGGAAGACAGAAGCAAGTGGAGGCGTGCAGTTGAAGCCCTATGTTCCACTAGGAACCCAAGGGAACAATAACAGTAATAATAATAATCTTCCTTTTCCGATCCTGGTATAAAAATAGAACTAGGCTTTGACATCCTTATTCATCCTAGCTACAGTTGAAATGTTGGTGCTCGTGTGAACGAAAGAGGATACTACCCTTGTGTTTTCCCTATTGACGGTGACTGGGGATTGTTGTAGTTGCTCATAGAGTATCTTTATTAACCTTGTCTTCTTTGAATTCAGTTGCTGACTTGTCTACACTGATTCTTCCGCAGGGTTAAGACAGTTACCAATAATAATGGATGATCATTGTTCAACATCATGAAATAACAGAATTTAGAGAAATTATTTATTAGCTGGGTGATAATGGCTTTTCTATGAGAGTGTATTATTTAATTTCTCTCAGAGGCATAGTGGTGTGATGATTAGGAATCTAGTTAGTTGGCATCTAAAGGGGTATGATAGACCTTATTGATTAGTGATTAAATTCGCACTAAAATTATATTCTATATCACTGTTTAACACAAAAATGTGTAGTTGTCATATACATGTTTAACATAAACTCTTTATCTAGTGCTTCTACAAATAATACTTTCTATAAACTCTTTCAATATATTTTAGAATTAGACGAACTGACAAATTCCACTGAAAGACTCGAAGAAGCTAAGTCTAATACAGATCTTGTAAATCCACTCTCTAAAAATGAAATACAGTCATCTACAACATTAACATCGAATAAAGAAGAAGTTACAGCTTGTGAAAGTGATTCCCCAATCAACTTGACCGTTTTATCCTCTAATAAATCGAGTAGAGATAATCGACTTTCACCTGTTCCACAAGATAATACTCGACGAGGTAAGTTTAAATGTGAATGCTTTTCAAGTATTGATTCGCTAGAATTTGAGTAATTTCAAGAATAATAACGAGTGGATTTCAGTAAAGTGGCCGCTGAAAACTAGGGAGTACCGGATAGCTACTTTGTCCTTGCTTGGGACTCTTCAGCAATATATAGCATTTGTTATTTATCGTTAACAGTAATAGGCTTATCCTGAACAGCATATTGTTATATACTATGGAACTCACTGAATGTTTCCACAATGAAAGCAGTCATAGAGAGGTGCTTACTGACAGCAGGCAAATAAACATCTGTGTAAAACTTTGTCATCAAAAGGAGATGTAACTAGCAATATCAATAGCTGAAGCATTCTTTGAAGACAATTTCATTGGCCAATCAATTCAATAACCTCAGAGTCTCTTTTACTTGAGCATTCTCCACCATGGGTAGGAAGGGCAATAGCAGAGTCTACCGAAAGCTGCCTATTACCACAGATGGTATCCTTAATTGTGGTGGGCTGGATTATACGTCAGACTGTGGGGAGCAAAGAGTCAGAAATACGCTGGAAGACTAATAAGAAGACTCTAGAAGATCTGAATTTTGCGCGTGGATGACTTTTGTCTAATGTTACACAAACTCGAAGACCTACTGGCAAAGACCAACAAACTGGCGGAAGATGGTGACAGCGAAGACAGGACTGCAGGTGAACACAGAGAAGACGGAGGTGATGAAGATGACCAACCATCCAACCAACTAACCAACGAACCAACATTAGAAACAACCAGAACCAATCAACATCAACGAGAGAGACTTGACAGAGGTTACTTCCTTCACTTATCTAGGAAACATCGTTTCAACTACAGGTAGTCGGAATGGATGAAGATGTCAAAGCAGGCCAGCCAGAATCGGAAAGGTAAGATACGCCTTCACCAACCTGAAACCAGTGTGGAAATCTTCTTCACTAACTCAGAATAAAGAACAAGATTCGGATTTTCAACATAAATGTTTAGTCAGTCAGTTATTCTATATGAGTCAAAAACTTGCACGGCGTGTCAGGAAGAGGATTTGCAACAGATTGCAGACTTTTATCAACATCTGCCTTCGCTCCGTACTGAAGAACGAATGGCCAGAAAGAATAAGTGACAAGAAACTATGGGAACAAACCAACCAAGCGCCGATAGCTCTAAAAGTATGTAGGAGAAAATGGGCATTGATCGGGCATATATTGAGGAGACTGTCGAATGACATCGCGTGCAATGCAGGTCATCACTCAAGTGGAATCCAAATGGGGAGCGACGAGTGGAATCCAAATGGGAAGCGACGAGTGGATCGTCAGAGCGAGGGTGACGTGGAGGAGATCCTGTGAGGAAGAGATGAGCGAGTGTGGTCAATCGTGGACCCAGCTAAAGAGGACGGCAGAAAACAGAACAAAGTGGAGATATGTTGTTGAAGCCCTATGTTACACTCGGAACTCAAGGGAATAATAATATGATATAATATAATATAATATCGAAAGCTCTCTCTAGTGGCTGAAATATGGAGTTGACTCTCAACCATTCTATAAAAGGTGCGAATTCAGTTCTGTTTGTTTGTATGACTCTGTTTGTCAATGTTCTGTCTGTCTGTCTGGATTCAACATAGAACTTGGCACTGAAGTGCAGCAGTTCGAGTTGCCAAATAGCACACAAAGGTAGACAAGAAAATGAGTGAAGAGAATCAATAGAGTTTTGACAAGTATACGAGTGAAACAGAATGAGTAATGGTAGAAAGGAGTATGAAGGTTAAAGAGACTGAATACATCTGCGCCATTGACAACGATTTTGAGCCATGTCACCTATTGTCTCCAGCCATTGATTCTGTTTGTCAATGTTAACAGAGATAGTTCCCATCAAGACTTTTAACCTAATCTATGTACTTGGGAAAAGTTTGTCGAGTTCGTTTCCCTCACATACCTTACACCTTCAAGCCAGGTTCAAGTAGAATCACTTTATACCCTGATCACAGAACATAACTGTAAATTATGTATATGCATTTTCTGTATTATTGTGGTAGTGAGATACAGACAATGTGTTTCAACGGAATATTATTCTCACATATTCCCACAGTTCAATACTGCATTAGCAACAGAATACTATAGGATGACAGGATTTCATCATTAGCTGAACTCAGTTAGAGAGCCATTGGAAAACCACCTGGGAGTACTGCTAGACAGCTAGCTGTTTCAGCCTAGTTTGGCACTCTTGATCAGTACGCACCCACACCACTGCCAGGGTTCGAACCAAGGACCTTCTGGTTACAAGACTAGCGAGCTAGCTCGTAGACCATTAAGCCACTGGGACCTGATCAGATGGCCAGTCCATGAATTCCAACTCTTGACAATGCACGACATAGCATGACCACTGGCCAATGTCTTCGGCGAGCATTTGTCCTCCCACCAGACTTTCTATTTCATGTCTTTTCTTGTAAATCAAAATCACACGCTCAGTGATTAGTTAAAGAATATAATACTGTATGTGTGTGAATAACCGTTTGATCATTTGAAAATATACCCTAGCTTCCATGTCTTGCCTTCTGTTGTTGCACTATTAGCTATATTATTTTTATCATATCGGATTGTTATAGCATATTTTAGTGTTAATTTCACAATTCATAGTTGCCATAGGCAAACCTAATCTAACCCACACAATGGCTGACTATCTAGATTAGTACATGTCTACTTTCATGGTTTTATTATTATTATTATTATCATTATTATCACCTTGATTTCCATACCCGTTAATTAATATTACTTGAACTCTAATTCTATTAACGACATTATAGATAAAATTTTATTTTTATAAAGTTGTAACAGCAGATACTTATAGATTTTTGTGTACACTATTATTATTCGTTATTGTTACCAGAGAAGCAACGTATTCTGATTGGTTTTTTTCCTGCTGAAGGTTATTCTGTCATCTCTTTGTTGTCGTTTCTTAGACAGTCCAGTGATATATCTGCGAATCGTATCCGCCTACGCTAAGTCTGCGGTGATTGGTTGTTGAGTTCCTCAAGGTTAGGCTTTGTTCTTGTGTTTCTTTTCTCATGACCCTGATTCGGGACGTAAACATAGACGTAAATTGCTGTCTACAATTTTGTCTTGCAGACAGCCTTCACCATAAAGTCACACACAGTGTAGTATTATACATTGATATTTACTGATGACCACGTTTCGGGTACAGTTTATTGCTCCTGCTCATAATCATACCAAGTCACTCACACAACTTTCTTGCTTCATTCATATACCTGAGTAAAAATGGATGATTAGACATTGGAATAAAATCAATATAAGATAGTGTACATTCGGCAATAATATTAGCATTACCAATAAAATACAACAAGATGGGAAATAAGGTGTTTTTATAGTAAAATAAATGAGTAACCTGCTAGAATGTTATAATGTGAATTGAATTGAATACATTTTAACATTATTTATTATCCTCCTCTGATTTGACTACTGGTAATAATATCTTCCACATATATCTCTAGTATTTGTGTTGGGTCACTTCTATTGCATGTGTTGTGTGTTGGTAGACTCGATGAACCAGGATTCAGTAATCAATCTCTCTCTCCACCTACCTATATTACTTCTTAGAATTTTAACCCTCTCCCACCCTATTATGTGGTTATGTGTTAGTTAATGCATGCAATGCAGTGCAGTGGTAAATTTTTTCTAAATTACTTATCTTAGTGGTTGAGATCAATCATTCTAACCTCAGCTAAATTCTTACGTTCAGACATCCTGACTACCCCTGCCCGATCTACTAGTTTGACCTATGTATTTGATCTCACAGTCATTTCAAGGTGTTTTGTAAATTACATTATTTTGTTTATTTGGGCCGTCCTACAGGGTGTCTTAGCCTATAGAGCTTGTCCTACCTGAGTGAGTTTGTATGTTTGAATGTCCCCCTAGTTCCTGCTTTATTCAGAATCCTACGTAGGGCCTCAGATGTCCCCTCCCCTTATGTGGTAAAACTGTAACAACAGAAGGCAAGAAACGGCAGCCAAGGTATATTTTTCATTAATCAGACCGCTGTTTACATGTTTATACAGTTTATATTCGTTAACCAATCACTGAGCTTGTTACTTTGGTTTACATCAAACGATATGAAATAGAATGTTGAACTGTACATAGTATTCTGCTGTACATTATTTTCCAATTATGGATAAAATTTTATTTTGATAAAGTCACACAGTGTTGTTATACAGTAATATTTACTGATGATAACCACGTTTCGAGCACAATTTATTGCTACTGCTCATAATCATATCAAGGCATTACTCACTCACACAACTTTCTTGCTTCATTTATATACATGAGTAAAAACTGATGATTAGACATTTGAATAAAATCAAAAACATAAGATAAAGTACAGTGGGAAATAATATTAGTGTAATCAATAAAGTACAATACGATGGGAAATAAGATGTTTTCATAGTAAAATAAATAAATAACTTGTTAGAATGTTCTGATGTGTGAGTACCTTGATGTGATTATGAGCAGTAGTAATAAATTGTGCTTGAAACGTTGTCATCAGTAAATATTACTTACTGTATAACCATACCGTGTAACTTTTTTGATTAGGTACTAGTCAGTAACTAGTGTAATGTGTGTGTATGTGTCTAATCCTATTTTTTGGTGCAGACTGAATTCTATCATTCAAGTTTGCAATGTGGCCACCACAGCTCAGTGATAAGGTCTCTGACTGCAGGCGGCACTGCATGACGCGGGTTAGAATCTCAGAAGAAGGACTTGAGTTCCTTCAAGGTTGTAGATGCGCCTTGCTGACTAACTGATGAGTGCCAACTAGCACGAAACCTAGTTCAGGCATGGCTTCCTGTGGCCAGTTGCCTCCAACCATCTAATACCAGCTGTGTGACTTGATCGAAATAAAACTTTTATCCATAATGGAATCTCTAATGAATAAATTTATTATGCAACTGTAAAGCTTTTTCTGAGTAATTATCAAGAATACGTATTTGGTTTAAACTACATATTTATCTAGTAATCTTCACCTAATTGTTACTACTACTTTTTCAAACAGTCCGTCCTCTTTCATTCTAATTATCACAATTTTCTGTTGTTAAAGCATGACAGATTTTCTTCTTAACGTTCATCAGCATTCCTATCATACAAAAGATCAAACAGCAATGCAATGCTCAATAACCACTGACCCATGAACAGATTTTCTACGGCTTTCATTGAAACTCATGGCATTCACTGGTTACTAAGTCGACTGTGTGTAGACACTGATTCATCAGTGATACTGACTGATAGCCTCAGTACATGATAAAAGAAATATCAGATTTAATAAAATTTTAGTCACGAAATATACACATTTGATCATAGGGAATAATAAAATGATAGCTGCAGCGAAGAAAATTTTCTTTTCGACGAAGTCACCGTCAACTAGGTTGTACATTCATGTATTTACGATAAATGGGTGGGAAAGTTCTAGAATAATTTCCAGTCAAGGGTCAGATTAATAAAAGTACAATTAAGAATTAAAATGCCATTATAAACAGGGAGGGGGACGGATAAAGCTCAAACAAAGTAGCATCATAATTGCTGAGAAGATTGACATATTGTAAAATTAGGGGTAAGAAATGTCGAAATAATAAAAATAGACAGGATGTTTGGATAAAAAACCTAGTGGGATCATAACTAATGTGGCGAAAAATTGTTTATGCAGTTAGGGATTGAATATGCAGAAATAACAAAATGACAAATTAGACCGGGAGTTCGGATATGAAAATATGGTAGTGTAAGTAGGGATTAAGAAAAACTTAAAATAACATGAATAAACAGGAAGTTTGGACAAGAAAAGCAATGGGATAGTCACTATTAGAAGAATTACTCGTTTATGATGGCCATGGCAGGGACAAGGGTTGAACCTATTTTTTTTAGATACATAGCTTGATTTTGAGCGTTTGGATAGCCAGTGCCTCGGCTATGCCAAGATGTCTTAATTTTACTCCCTTTGATAGGTTTGATCGAACCTTAATATTAAAACAATTGTTATTGTATATGCATTAATTTCCTTCTTTCTATCTTTCTCATTTTCTTAAGATCTTTCACCTCCAGGCAGTAAATGTTACATATGCAGAAAACGTCTTGGTTTAACTGGTGAGATAATTATTTGACATACACTTTTTATTGTTATTATTTTTACTTTTTTTGTCAATAATTTCGAAGAAATTATTCAATACACATTGAAGGCCCGACCAAAGCGACAGTTTATCCTTCATACATCCATTGATCATTTGTCGGCTGTAGAAACTGATCTGTAGGTCAGCCGTAAAGAAGACTTTCCTCAGTGATCTGCACAAGCAATTTTTCAGGGTCTCAGCTGCGGTATCACCTTTAAATTCAATACCCATAAATAGCAGTTTCTTCGACACCGTCTGGTTTCTTTCAGGCTTTTGCTCTAACTTCATATTTTCCTCGATAAATCTTGGAGGATATCCATTTTCTATGAGGATTTGTCTGAGTTGCTCCAGTTTTCCGTCGATTGTATCACTGGAACATATCCTTCTTATTCTTCAGGATAAGGAGTGGATCAGGTTTCTCTTTCTTCTCAAAGGGACCTAACTATGAAAATTCGTGTACTGACCATTCTATGTTGGTTTCCTGTAAACCGTTCTTTAAAGAGAACCATCAGATCTTCTTTTTAGAAAGGAAAGAACCCAGCTGGCGCCGAAGAAACTGGCATTTATGAGCGTTGAATTTAAAGATGATACCGCAGCTGAGATCCTGAAGAATAGCTTGTGCAGAGCACTGAGGAAAGCCTTCTTTACGGCTGAGCTACGGATCAGTTTCTACGGTCAACAAATGATCAATGGATGTGTGAAGGATAAACTGCCTCTTTGAACGGGCCACTTCAATGTGTGTTTATAAATTCACCTGCTACTCGTGTGGAACTAGTTATATTGGCCGCACAAAGCGTGCATACTTTTCAAACGCATCTCTGAAAATTACTCAGTACCTCATTGATATTATGACTAAATATACCCAAATGCTTTGGAATGGATGATGTTGAATTCTCATTCCGATGAAGTACATCTGAATTTTCTACATGACTTAGTAAGCATTTAGGAACATGTTCTTTCCAACGAAATTAGACACATTCTATTGGTTCTACCTATACATGTGTCACTCCAATTCCTGGTGAACTTGTAGATACAGTATGAAGTACACTGTGCAAAATTTAGTCTATTAATCGTAAGGACTCGGTTAAAGGACGAAGTTGTATGAACTCTCCTTCAGAAATGTATGTACAAGTTCACCTGCATTTATGGTGACACATGCATAGGTAGAAGCAGTATAGATTGTTCTAATATCGTTGGAAGGAACATGTTCCTAAATGGTTATTAAGTCGTATAGAAAAACCAGATTTACTTAACCTGAATAGAAATCCAGAATCATCCGTCGCAAATTATTTCATTGCCAGTTAATAATAATAAGTCAGCGTAAATGGGTCAGTATATTTCTGTACAGTTAACTGTTCCTCTTTATACTATAAAGAGAGGTAAGTTATTCCCCCTAACAGATTCCATAGCACAAATACCTTCACTGTTTTAACATCTCCGAGATGCAATAAGTCGTCATTATTCTTCATGTAATTACGCTGGTGACTTCAAATTATAGCAGCCCAAAACGAACAGCGCAATAATGACCTTGACAAATCTCTATCGACCAATCAGATGCCTCCGAATTAGAAGCACGTATTTTGAAATAAATGTCTATTGACAGGTAATGCAATGTTACAAAATGGTTACATAGGATAACATTCCTGTATATCATCCAAGGTGCTGTCAATGACACAGCTGTAGAATGCTCGCTATTCACGCAACAAGGGTTCGGGGTTCGATTATCGGCCGACGTACTCCTTCGATCGTTAAGCCAGTAATAAAACTGGTTAAGAAAGAATGTTGGGCATGAGACTAGCAACCCCATCCCGCAAAAACAAACACCACTGCTACCGAAACTTCGAAGCTTTAGCTTGAAGCCCTATGTTCCACTGGGAACGTAAAGGAATAAAGAAAATATGATCCAAGAAAACCTCGTAACTTCTCTTAGGAGTCCTCACAGTCAGGTTAAACCGATTTCTGTACATATAAATTCGTCTAGACACCTGTGAACCATCGTGTTTCTTGACCCACCCCTTCATCGCTGTGATCCTCATTTTTTAGGTGACTCCAGAAAATTTCGATAGGAATTTTTGAATCTTGTTGAAAGGATTAAAGAAATCATCCTTACGATTGACCGCGTTGTCAATATAGCCCAGGGATGATAGTTGGCTACACATCTTCTCCCTTCCAATGAGCCAGCCTGTTGTCTAAGCAGTACTTAGAAAATTAAATTTGGATAAAATTTGCCGCACATTCACAATTCCATCTACATACTACAGACTCGTATGACGGGTTGATCAAGATCATGCATCCGTTCATCATTAGGTAGTTTCGTTTTGGGCTGGTATAGTATAGAGTCACCATTATGCTTCTTCCAGTATAATTTTTAGTGTTGCGTTTCTTTGCATTTGATTTCTTCATTTTTCTTAAGTTTATGAAGTGTGGAAACTTGAACTGCTGCACGTTAGTGTAATGTTGAAAATCGAATTCAGTTCATAATTTGTCTATTGATTCGGACAGGTTTTAGGGTTATCTGTTCATAATTGTGTAGCTGTATTTATATATGTGCTGGAATATGACAGTGAATGGAACTTAAGAAGTGTGATAATGGATTGCGAGTGGAACACAGAGTTTAAACAAGACATCTATCTTCATTTCAGTTGCCACTACGATTACGTATAAGATCCCATCTTCTTCTCACACGATCACTATTCAGTGTCACCCATGATGATTAAGACATCTAAGAATGGAGTTTCTTTGTCTGATTCTTCTCCTCTTGCATGAATTTAATGTCTTCAGATTTGTTGTTTATTTTATTTACGGGGGTATTCGAAATCATTTAATTGAACTTTAGATTTCCCTGTCGATTGATAAGATCGAAGTGCTCATTCTCAAGTTGACATGTCGGGTTCTTGTGCAGATGTTTCAACGATGTCTGAGCATGTAATCAGAAGTTAATTGGTGGATGGTGACTAGCAGTGGAATGTAGAGTGAGCGTTTCCTCCTATTTGGGACTCGTCTGCAAGCTGGACGTACCTGCATCCCGCAGTGAGTGATGATGTTCCCACCACCGAGGCTCGAATCCAGTGCCCATAGTTTCAAATGCCAAAGCGTTATCCACTAGACCACTTGGGCAACGAGAGCTGGCCACCTCTTGTGCAACGGGTCATATTAACTATTTAATTCACTTTTAGATTTTCTCGTCGAAATGCGCGTTCTGGCGGGATTCCACTGCTAATCACCATCCACCAATTAACATTTGGGAACGTGTTCTTTTCGACGACATTAGAACATTCTATTGGTTATACATATACCTGTATCACCCGAACTCCAGGTGAACTTTGAAAAAGAGAAGACGTTCAGCCAAGAGACTCTTTTCGACGGCGAATTCATTCACTCTTAGCTGTTCAATCGCATTTATATATAATTATTTGTGTGTGTACATGAGGTTTGTTAAGTTTAGATAATTCATCAGGTAGGTAATACAAGAATGACCTAATATAGAAGTCGTTTTGAAATTGTTTAACAACTGCCACCCCGCGATTCAGTTCACGCTGGAGAAAGAGTTCAACTCCAAAATATCCTTTCTTGACGTCCAACTAACAAGACGAGAACAGGATGGAACAATGAAAAGGTCTATCCACAGAAATTCGACGTGGAACGGACAGCTTACTAACTTTCACAGCTGGGTACCCCTATACAACAAACGAAACCTGATCCATTCACTCAGCTACAGAGTTCGCAGAATTTGCACCCCGGACACCATAGAAGATGAAGTGGACAATCTCAAGAGAATCTTCGTCGAGAATTTTTATCCAGAATGATTTATTTCAAAATTTATCAATCCTAGACCACAAAAGCCGCCCATGCTTAGCGACCCGAAAAAAAATTACTCTACATGAATCTTCAATTCAATAGAGATATATCTGTGGAAACACTAAAAAATCGACTGTCGCGCTCACTTAAGAAGACCTTCTTCGCAGCTGAACTACGACTAACCTTCTCCACAAAACCTATGATTCATGTGAACGTGAAGGATAAGCTATCACTGCTGACCTTATCAATGTGTATCTACCAATTCACCTGCTCGTGTGGAGCCAGGTATGTCGGCCGCACCCAGCGCTCGCTTTCCAAACTTATCACCAAACACTTATCAACATGGTTTTACAAAGGAGAAAATCGATGCCCACGCAGCTCCATTTTAGAACATTTGATAGAATCCGGACACCAAGCTCCACCTCAAACAAAATTCAAAGTCGTCTACAGAGTAAGAAGTAGTCTTCCTAAAAGTGTACTAATCAGGCTTCTTCAAACTGCAGAAGCAATGGCGATTCCCTCGCTAAGTCCTGAAATCTGCATACAGAAGTTCGTTCAATCACTACACTTGCAATGGACGTACTCTATCTTATTACCCGACAAGTAAATTCTACCTTATCTTTTTTTTCTGTCTCTTCATTAGTATTATTTTGTCTTCTCAATCGTAATATTTTGCATTTTCAACTTTTCTATTCTCTATTCCGACCGATTTAATTTCTACACTTCATTACCACTATTACTGACTTGACCAACGCAGAATTTCTAGTCATTTATGTTACGTCATCCAATTTATTTGCTCAATTTCAGTTCTAACTTAAATGGCATTATTCTGTACCCCACTTCTATGTAGTCTCTACCTGTAATTACCTCTGTTGCTATCCTGACCTAAGTTGAAACATTTTAGTAAATTATATTACGTCATCTAACTTACTAATTCAAACTTACTTTAGTTGCTGTGTGATTAACCTTGTTTCAATATTAGATCATTCTTGTGTTATTCAAGTGTTGGTTTGTAGGGATTTGACTGGTTACAGGATTTTCATCATGAACTGACATTAGTTAGAGAACCATTGGAAAATCTGGGAGTACTGGACAGTTGTTTCGTCCTAGTTTGTGACTCTTCGCCAGTACGCACCCACCGGGATTCGAACCCAGAACCTTCTGGTTACAAGGTTAGCTCGTAGACTTCTGCCAGTCCTAGTGAGAAGTCGTGACCAGGAGGGTGCAGCAGGTCGGGTGTGAGGACAAATACTCGCCGAAGACATTGGCTAGGGGTCGCGCTATGTCGTGAATTCGCAGAAGTTAGAATTCATGAACTGGCCATTAGATCGCATTCCAGTGGCTTAATGGTATACGAGCTAGCTCGCCTTGTAACCAGAAGGTTCTAGGTTCGAATTCCGGTGGGTGCGTACTGATGAAGAGTGCCAAACTAGGACGAAACAGCTGTCCAGTACTCCCAGGTGGTTTTCCAATGGTTCTCTAACTGAGTTCAGCTCATGATGAAAATCCTGTGACCATTCTTGAGTTACCTGATTAATTATCTAAACTTAACAAACCTCATGTACACACACACACACAAATAATTATATATAAATGCGACTGAACAGCTAAGAGTGAATGAATTCGCCGTCGAAAAGAGTCTCTTGGCTGAACGTCCTCTCTTTTCCATATATGACTCAATGGGGATTTTCAGGCTACCCAGGTGAACTTGTAGATACAGTATGAAGTAGAGTTCACAGAATTTATAGAGCCTAATAAAAAGAATTTATTGATAACGACAGTTTGTTCACTCTAAATATTCTGTTTATTAATTTAATGATAATAGTAATAATAACACTTTGACAAAATCATTTTTTTTAAAACACCCTTTTGATTTAAGGCATGAACTGTAGATGTGGTAATACCTTCTGTGCATATCATCGTTATACTGATCGACATGAATGTACATATGATTATCAAGAGGAGGCACAGAGAGAAATACAACGTGAAAATCCTGTTGTCAATGGAGAGAAAATAAGAAAACTTTAATTTTTTTTCTTCTCATTATGCGCCTACATATCTGTATACATAAACATATAAACAACAAAAAAAGAGAATGGGATAATTTTTTCATTTAATACATGAGAATATTGACTTTAAAAAATGGATAGCCATCACTCCCTGCTACGTAACGTTTATTTTTGTTATTTTTATCAATTAATTGGTTCTTTGTTTTGCTTTTTTAATTAATTAATTTAAACAAATCTGTTTCGCTTTCATTTAAATTTAAATTATTCAAAAAATATAATTCAGGATGGCATCATTCTTGAAGTAATTATTAGACATCAAGTAAGGTTTGTATTGTTGTTGTTAGATGGTTTGGCGGCAGTTGGTAACAGGAAACCTTGCCTGACCTAGGTTTCGTGCTTGTTGACACTCATCAGTCGGCAAGGCGTATCTGAAACCTCGGAAGAACTCATTTCCCTCTTCTGAGATTTGAACCCAGGTCACCCATTGCTGCATGCAGTCAGAGATGTTACCACTGAGGTATTCGGGCTGGCGATAGACGTCCTTTCTGTAGGATTGTATTGGCTACTTTCATTGGACACTAGTAACTAGTGTGATGTGTGTGTGTGTCTAGTCCTATCTTTGGTGCAGACTGAATTCTGTCAGTCAAGTTTGCAATGTGGCCATCAGTCTAGGTGGCTGGCCATCATGTCTCTGACTGCAGGCGGCATTGGATGAAGCGGGTTAGAATCTCAGAGGTGATATGAGTTCCTTCTGTGTTGCAGATACGCCTTGCTGATGTGTGCTGACTAGCACGAAAACTAGGTCTAGTCAGGGCTTCCTGCTGATCGCCTCTAACCATCTAACACCAACAATTCAAAGTGAACCGTGATGGTGAGCTATCTAGAATGGTGGCCACATTACAAACTTGACTGATTGGATTCAGTCTGCACCAAAGATAGGACTAGACACATCACACTAGTTACTGGTGTTCAGTGAAAGGTTTGTTTTGCATAAACTGTGGGCAATAATGGATAAAGGCCATATATACGTATCTATCTTTTATGATGATGATTTCAGACAAGGGGGTCACTTATACATCTATCTACTGAATGATAGATTTAAGTTTGTGTGAATTTTACTATAAACAAAGTTTTATATATCTCTAGAGTTTGGTCGAATTGATAGGGATGCTTGAGGTGACGTAACACATGCGGTGATCATGAGTGTTGCTTGTCTACGCCGACAATGGCATATAAAAATGCTAACTGATTTTACAGCAGGCTACTTACGCTTGAACACATAAATACATGAGACGGAAGAATATATTTATATAAGGCGACAGACCAGGTTCACGAAAACTTAGAAGGAGCATAAACGGTCATGAAGAGAGAGAGGTATCGTCGACTTCATACAGCAGAACGGGAAACGAAGAGAAAAGTGCTAATGTCAGCAAATTTCATAGATGCATGGATAATACTTTGAGATAAAAGTCTTGGGACTAAATCAATTGTAAAAAGTTAGTGACGGAACCAAGAATGGCTGAAGTACTCCCGTCGAGACATTTTGTTGTTGTATCGAATTTGGCATGCTCAAGTGTCGAGACTCGGTGTGTAGACCATTATTTAGGAGATCTCCTTCAGGAATACTAGGAAGTGCAGCGACGTACCAAGTCGCGAGACACATAATTCAGGAACTTCATCGAAGCATCAAGAAAACATATAATGGAAATAAAGAAGAATGGTTACTGAAAAAAGAATATACTTTTCAGGATTTTCATCATGAGCTGACATTAGTTAGAGAACCATTGGAAAACCTGGAAGTACTGGACAGCTGTTTCGTCCTAGTTTGGGACTCTTCACGGTACGTACCCAACCAGCTCATGATGAAAATCCTGAAACCAATCAAATCCCTACAAACCAACACTTGAATATCAATGAGATGCTCACTAGTGACTTGCCCTATTCAGGTAGGTAGTTGCCTGGGATTCTAGTGAGAAGTCGTGACCAGTAGGGTGCAGCAGGTCGGGCGTGAGGACAAATACTCGCCGAAGATATTGGCTAGGGGTCGCGCTATGTCGTGAATTAGCAGAAGTTAGAATTCATGGGCCATTGGATCGGGTCCCGGTGGCTTAATGGTATGCGAGCTCGCCTTGTAACCAGAAGGTCCTGGGTTCGGATCCCGGTGGGTGCGCACTGATGAAGAGTCCCAAACTAGGATGAAACAGCAGCTGTCCAGCACTCCCATGTGATTTTCCAATGGTTCTCTAACTAATGTCAGCTCATGATGAAAATCCTGTAACCAATCAAATCCCTACAAACCAACACTTGAATATCCTTTTCGATAACCTGCTATTCATCAGGTTCTACAGTTGTATACACATAATAGTGAATGAAGGAATTAATGTTACTAACAACATCACTGTTTATAAAATTATATTTGTAAAATCTCAGCGAAATTGAAATGATTAATTCCAACGTTTCGTTCGGCAATCTGGTCCGAACTTCTTCAGGGAAATTAATCGAATTAACATAACAGAGGTTTATATATAAAAGGAACAACTCATGTTTTTAATTTTTGTCCAATCATGAGTCATGCATCAGTCATCAACATGTATAATAAATAGATAAAATAGTATGTTTATATATATATAAAAGTACATCTCTTTTAAATTGTTTGTCCAGTCATGTGAATCAATAAACAGCTATCAATAGGTATAGTAAACAAAACAAAACAAAATCTTTAATCTGAACTGTGATCAAAATTTGACCTCAGACTTTCAACATTAGTCTACTTTTGTTAAAAATATATATGTGTATATGTGTTATGCAGTATCAATGGTGTGTGTGTGTACATGTGTGTATGTGTGTGGGTGAACAGTCATAAAACATTTGTTATTCTCATATGAGCTATGATCAAGATTTGACCGGAAAGTTACAAAATAATTGAGATGTTTTTACAAATATAATATAATTTTATAGATTTGTTATTCTCTCCATAAAAGGACGTAGACAATCGGGAATTTGATCCAGTGTGACTAGTTGTTGAAAACATATCCAATTTATTTATTAGTCAGGATTTGCCATGCATCAGCTAAGATCACACCTTCACGTCTGTTCAAACTGTTGGGATTCACCCATATATGTAGGGCTTCTGCAGTCAGTCTTTCTTTATATGAACCAAAACCTTTCTGTAAAACCTTAGTCTTATCAAAGTCGATTTTGTGTCCCGTTTCTATCGAGTGCAGTGCGATCGCTGAGTTGTTTTCTAGCTTCTTCAAGTCTGCAGAGGTCTTTGGAACCACCTTTAGACATTGTTTATGCTCTTTCACCCTTACATTTACCTGTCTGGAAGTTTCTCCTACATATACGGCGTTACAATCCCCACAATTGATCTGGTAAACACAATTTTGCTGGTTTTCTTGTTCGATTTTATCCTTAACCTTAACCAGTAATGAGCGTAAGGTGTTTGATGCACGAAAATACACTCGTATATTATGGTCGTTAAGGATTCGCTTTATTTCGTCGGAAGTTTCTTTGCGGTAAGGAATCACCGCTGTACTAACCCAATTCTTAGCATCAGGTTTCGATTCATCTTTGTCTTCACATTTTAAATATCTTTTTATGAAAGCTTTAGGATAATTATTTGATTCAAGAGTGGATTGAACCAATTTTAATTCCTTGCTAATATCTTCCTCCTCAGTAACTAGACGTTTGGCTCTGTTGATCAGATTCTTGGCCACAGTTACTTTGGTGGTAAATGGATGAGCTGAATGGTAATCTAGGTATCTATCCGAATTTGTCGGCTTTCTAAAAATGTTTATTTTAAATTTTCCATCTAATTTTCTTTGTACTAAACAGTCCAGGAACGCCAACTCATTGTCATCGGATTCAACCTCTTTGGAGAATTTAATAGTTTCTGATATATTGTTTATTAAGTGAAACAGTTCATCTAACAAACTACGTTTGATTATGATGAAGGTATCATCTACGTATCTTAACCACATCTTTGGGGGACTAGGGCATCTCATAATTGCATTTGTTTCTAATGAGTGCATAAATAGATTGGCGACTAGCGGAGATACTGGTGATCCCATAGCAATGCCTCCTGTTTGACGGTAAAGAACCCCTTTAAACGTAAATAACGTGGATCGAAGAAAAACAACTACAGCAAGATAGATCGATTATAATTACAAGAGCAGATAAAGGCAATATCACGGTTGTCATGAATACTGCAGATTACGAAAAGAAGGCCATTGATCATCTTAATGACGGACCTTATGAAAAATTCAACGCGAATAAATCAAGAGCAACTTTAAATAAACTGAAGGCTGAAACAAGCAAAATGTTACAGTCAATAAAAGAGAAGCTCGGTGTATCACTTTGGTTTACTCTGGCTCCGAAAAGTTGCAGCCCATGTAGATTTTATGGTTTACCAAAAATACACAAATCAGATGTTCCATTGCGTCCTGTAGTGGATTTTACCAATTCTCCAACTTACAAACTTTCTAAATACATTTATCGAATTCTTAGTCCATATGAAATGAAAGTGGAGCATGGAGTGAAGAATTCGTATGAATTTAAGAGGAGAATAAACTTGACTAATATTGAAGAAGATGAAATAATGGCAAGTTTCGATGTTTATTCATTATTCACGAATGTTCCCGTTAATGATTCTTTAAGTATTATTCATAATTTACTTATTGCTGACGACGAACTCAGTGGTCGTTGTCCTTTAAACCCCGACGAAATTATGAAGGTATTAGAATTGTGTCTTCGATCCACGTTATTTACGTTTAAAGGGGTTCTTTACCGTCAAACAGGAGGCATTGCTATGGGATCACCAGTATCTCCGCTAGTCGCCAATCTATTTATGCACTCATTAGAAACAAATGCAATTATGAGATGCCCTAGTCCCCCAAAGATGTGGTTAAGATACGTAGATGATACCTTCATCATAATCAAACGTAGTTTGTTAGATGAACTGTTTCACTTAATAAACAATATATCAGAAACTATTAAATTCTCCAAAGAGGTTGAATCCGATGACAATGAGTTGGCGTTCCTGGACTGTTTAGTACAAAGAAAATTAGATGGAAAATTTAAAATAAACATTTTTAGAAAGCCGACAAATTCGGATAGATACCTAGATTACCATTCAGCTCATCCATTTACCACCAAAGTAACTGTGGCCAAGAATCTGATCAACAGAGCCAAACGTCTAGTTACTGAGGAGGAAGATATTAGCAAGGAATTAAAATTGGTTCAA